TTGTTTTCTTCATACCCCATACACACAACAACAACATTCAAACATTTTTTTCCTTCCTACTACTACACCCAAACTCCCACATACCTGGGTTGAGTTCGAGGTTTTTCTTTGTAGTTTCGAGTTTGTGGTTCCTGACTGTGGTTTTCTCTTCTTGTGAATTTATTTTCACAAAAAGTAACACTTGATCTTCATTATATAACTCGATTCACAATTATATAAGACATGATTATAATGTTATGAAATTGTTTAAATTCTATGTGTGTTTATTATTTTTTATTGAACATATGTTTGAACTTGTTATATTATTAAATTTAGAATAAAATTGTATAACATGTGATTATTTCTTGTATCCCTTTCTCACTCTTTTCTTTAATTAATTATCAAAATTTTGGTGTTTGTGCCTTACTAATTTTGATGAATACATGTACGGTGCATTTAGAATGTAGTTGGTCCAAAAGTTCTTGTGTATTTTCTTTGTTCTTCAACTGAAAAGGTTGTTTCTACAAGTTATTAGGTGAGTTTTTGATAAAGCACATACAAATTTGCATAGATTTGACACCTTCTTCTTGTTTTTTTTTAAATTCTTTCTGGGTTATTTCCACCCAAAAATTGGCCAATTCTTCAAAAAAAATAAAAATAAGAGACTCCATTGGGCTAGTAAGGGGTAGTTTTGAAAATTATTACTAATTATTAGTTCATTTTCTTTGATTAGGGTTGTTTAAGGGTGTTTTTGTCGTTTGACATCATTTTAGAGCAATGTATAATAACTTTAAGGATTCACCTGTATTTTCATGGTTTGCTTTTCAAAATTTGTAAGCGGGTAAAATGGTGTTTTTAATTGTTTATGCTTACGTCATACGCATATGTCACGACCCAACCCAAACAGTTAGCTATGTCGGAACGTGGCAACCGATCCAGGTTAGTTATGCTGAAACGTGGTAATCGATCCCATAGTTATGCCGGAACGTGGCAATCGATCCAATAGTTATGCCGGGACATGGCAACCGATCCGAGTTAGTTATGCCGAAATGTGGCAACCGATCCATTCAACACACCACAATCACAATCACAAGTACATTCTCAATAATCATACAATCAAGAAGTGATTCATGGCATATAGTTATTCATCTATCTCATTTACAACAAGTGATAAACAATGCAACATTCATATACAAACATTAATTTGACCATACTTAGCCCTAGTCATCATCTAAGGCTTGTTTCTAGGGTTTAGTCACAATTCATCATAAATCCTCAATTCAATCACTCCAATTTATGATCTAGCATGCATTCATAAATATAGTTCCATTCATGATTTCATAGTCTTATTCTTGAACCAATTGTATCCATGAAACAATTCTAGAGTCCCTAACAATTTATCAATTTCTCTTCTCAAGGCATAAACCCTTATACTTTGATTTCTAGGGAATACTCATGGAATTTACTTGGTGCACAAAGGTCTACATATAACCCTACCATAGATTTCCATATATTACGTAGTAAGCACAGATTTATAACTACTCAATTCATAAAACCTAGCCTACCAGGGAGCCAAGCAGTTGCACGGAGTTTTGACTTCAATTCTGGTTTTCCGGGCTTCGTGACAATGAATTTGGCCAAGAATTCGCAAGATATCACCATCCTCCCGCTAGAAATCTTCTTCTCTTTTCTTCCCAAGCTTAGAGCATTTTTTTTGAGGTTTCTAGGTGTTTTACGACTTATTTAGGTATTTTAGGCAGATGGAGAAAATAGGATTTCTCGTAATTTACATTTTGCCTCGCCTATTCCGCCCTGGCACCAACTTTGTCATGCCCCAAACTCAAGGGGTGCAACTGGCTCTTAATGCCAAAACTCAGGCCCGACCCGACCCTACTGAACCATTTGCTACTAGTGCATGGAAGCCACATGCAATCAAGAAAACAAACAAGTATATCTCGGCTTAAAATTAAGCCATCGGCCGGCAAGGCCCCTATCAACAGATCTATAAATGAAACAGCAACTCCCAAGAGTTCATATAAAGAAATAGACAACTAGCACAGAAGTTCTGATTGGGACGTCGAGACCACCATGATCTCTATACTAAAACTGAAAACATGAATATATCAAGACATTACATCAAACAACTCACAAGTTTCAGCAAACCAACAAACTAGTCTAGCATGGCCATAATGTAGCTACACACCCCACACACTAGTCTTTAATCCTCTAAGAGTAGTAAAGATTGGCGGGACAGGGCCCCAGCCTACCCATAAAATATATACAACAAAAGCTAACAAACCTCCAAACTCTGGCAGCTCTGGAGGAAAGGGACTAGCGAACTAGATAAAAGTCAATCATGTTGCTGAGAAGGTCTACTGGGTCGTCTGTTGGGACCTGCATGCGTGAATGCAGCGCCTCCAGGCAATGGGGCATCAGTACAAAATAGTGTACAGAGTATGAAAGGCAATAAACTATGAGCAGGTATCCTAATATACTAGAATAATCTGATAAATAGATCAAGGATAAGATAAGTGTACCTTCCTGCTCATAAATCTTAACTTATCAAAAATATTAAAACATCAACCTAACCAAGCCCCCATAAGCTTGGCAGGTACAAACAGCACACAAGACCACCTACTCAGGCTCCTTTAAGCCTAGAACGTACCAATCAGTGTATATACCCCTATCGGTAGTCACCTAGCCCCATAGGCAGTCACATAGCCCTCTTAGGCTTTAATATAGCCCTGTAGGCAGCACTTAGCTCTCTTAGGCATCAACATAGCTTATAGACAACTCATAACCCTCTTAGGCAACAACATGGCCCTGCAGGAAACATATAGCCTTCTTAGGCGTCAATATAGCCCTGTAGGCAACTCATAGCCCTTGTAGGCATCAATATAGCCCCGTAAGCAACTCATAACCCCCTTAGGCATCCATATAGCCCCATAGGCAGAACATAGCCCTTCTAGGCATATATCACATTATTTTAGCTAACCACAATAGCCCCAAGGGCAACAATAACAATCCAATCACTAAAAGCGAGCAATTTAGTTATAAGCAACCTATACAAATAGCCTCTAAGTCATGTCCAACATAAGGACGCTACTAACTGAATAAGAATCCTGACAAGGGAAGATTATATCAACTCGAGCAGCCAACAATCAATAATAATGGCTACATGTATAACAAGGATAACAACCCAATTACATTGCTCCTAAGATTTAAGGAAACATGCCGTACGTAGGAAATAGTCTTAACATACCTTTTTCGTTGAATTCACGTGGCCTAACGACTTTACGCACAACCCCCTCGATACTACAACAAGAAAGGACCATAATTAACACAAAAGAATAAAGGATACCACGATAATCCGAGAAAATATATGTATTTCTGTCACAAATTGCTATTTGTGACTTATCAAAGCTAGAGTCGATGGAAGAAGGGTCTTACCTTGATTTTAAGTTCGTAATACACCTCAAAACTTTAAAATATGCCCAAACCCCTGCTGTCCACACACCAAAGTACGATATGCTAGGAAATCGATAAAACAAATTATACCATGTTAACGAGCTCAACACGTAGAACAACTATTATCAAGGACTTAAGTCACGAAAATCTGTAACTTGGTAGATCCTAGAAGTGGGTTTTGTTGGTTTTGTGGTTATTCACTAAGAAAAATGAAGGGAAAATGAATAAAAGTCGAAGAAGATGATATATATAAAGTTCCACCGACCTAGGGGACCCACCTCACCTGCCTGCTTGCGTAAACTTATAAAAACGTGAATATCTCTCCATTCTGAAGTTGTATGAACAAACAGGTTAATGTGTTGGAAACTAGACTCGTAGACCTTCGATTTCATACGTCGTGGGCACCATAACCCTTTATGGACTGGGATAAAATATCCGAGACATTTGACCCAAATTTCAGACAAATCTTTTAAAAGGAATTTACGGTAACTTTTGCCAACTTTTATTTTGCCACTTACCTAACTTCAAAACTTGAGATACAACCCTTGAACACTTAAAATATCACATAACACATCATTCTAAATTTATTACCCACCCTTCTGGTCTTTCCACGAAGATACGGGTCAATTTAGACGTTTCAAAAAGTCGAGGTGTTACATCCTTCCCCCCTTAGAAACATTTATCCTCGAATGAAAAATCTAAGTCACGCGGTTAAGTCCTTAGGAATTTCTAAAATTTAGGTAGAGTATCCTTTTTAAATGTAACTATCCAGGAACCTGAAACGCAAAAATTCTAACCTAGGTGTCTCATAGGATGACATAAATAGCTAAGCACTATAGCTCTGCAATAAAAGTCCGAGAAAATATACAACGACAACAACAATAATTGTAAGCAACAATATATAAAAAAAATCAGATAGGTATCTAACCTCACTGCACTAATATAAACTGATATGCCATCACCTTGGGGTATGAAACAAGTGAGGATATTTGGACCTCATGCCATCCTCAGCTTCCCAGGTCACCTCTTCTCTATTCTTGTTTCTCCACAATACTTTAACCGAAGCCACTTCTTTGGTCCTTAATTTATGGACCTGCCGATCTAATATGGCAATTGGAGTTTCCTCGTAGGACAACTCTTCTGTGATCTGAACATCCTTAACTAGGATAACCCAAGAACGGTCTCCTACGCACTAGCATCGATACATGGAAAACTGGATGAACAAATTCTAGCCCTGAAGGCAATTCTAGCTCATAAGCCACTTGTCCTACCCTCCGAAAGATCCGGTATGGCCCAATGAATCTTGGACTAAGCTTGTTTTTTTTGCCAAATCTCATAACACCCTTCATAGGAGAGACTTTTAAGAATACCCAATCATCGACAAAAAATTCTAAGTCCCTTCGTCGCACATCTGAGTATGACTTTTGTCGGCTTTGAGTTGTTAACAACCTTTCCCGAATGAGCTTAACCTGCTCCAATGTCTGTTATACTAAGTCGAGTCCAATCAACCCTGGCTCACCTACCTCAAACCATCCAATAGGGGATCTACATTTTCACCCATACAAAGCCTCATAAGGTGTCATCCCGATGTTGGAATGATAATTATTATTGTATGTGAACTCAATAAGAAGCAAGTGGTCATCCCAACTTCCTTTGAAGTCCAGCGCGCACGCTCGTAACATATCCTCCAGTGTCAAAATTATGTGCTCAGCCTGGCCATCTGTCTGAGGGTGAAAGGCTGTACTAAGATTAACCTGTTTCCCCAGTCCTTTCTAGAAGGACTTCCAGAATTTGGCGGTAAATTGTGTTCCTCTATCAGAGATAATAGATACTAGGACACCGTGTAGCCTAACAATCTCTCTAATATAGACCCCTACATAGTCTTCGGCCGTAAAAGTCTCCCTGACCGGTAAGAAGTGGGTTGATTTTGTTAGTCTATCAAAAATTACCCAAATAGAGTCAAACTTGCGACGCATTTGAGGTAACCCTGTAATAAAATCCATATTAATTGCTTCCCACTTCCATAAGGGTATGGCTATCTCCTGAACAAGCCCAGCGGGCTTTTGGTGCTCAACCTTCACTTGTTGGCAGTTAGGACACTGTGCCACAAACTCAGAAACGTTCTTCTTCATCATGTGCCACCAATAGATCTCCTTAATATCATGGTACATCTTCGTTGAACCAGGGTGAATAGAATAACGAGAATGATGTGCCTCTTCCATAATCCGATGTCAAAGCCCTACAACATTTGGAACACACAATCAACCGCTATATCTAAGGACTCCATCTCCTGCTATATCAAATGCTAAAGACTGCTAATGATGGGCCTTGGCTCGGAGATTCTCTAAGCTAGGATCCTCTTTTTGGCATGAGTTTACCTCTACAACTAGAGATGATACGGATGTGTCCTGAATTGTGACCCCACTATCGTCTGCCTCTAACAATCTGACTCCCAAGCTAGCTAACTGATGAAGCTTTCGCGCTAGCTCCCGCTTCTCAACACTTAAATAGGACAAACTACACATAGATCTTCAACTGAGGGCATCCACTACCACATTTTCCTTTCCTGGATGATATAAAATATCCACATTATAGTCTTTCAGTAATTCAAGCCATCGACATTGTCACAGATTTAACTCCTTCTGTCTAAAGATATATTGAAAACTTTTATGATCTGTGAAAATATCAACATGAATGCCATACAAACAGTGTCTCCAGATCTTTAACGCAGGCACAACTGCAGCAAACTCTAAATCGTGGGTCGAATAGTTCTTCTCATACTTCCTCAACTGCCTTGAAACATATGTGATAACCTTACCATGTTGCATTAGAACACATCCCAACCCAAAACCAGAGGCATTACAATACACCACATAGCCCTCTGAACCCTCTGGCAATGCTAGAACTGGTGTTGACGTCAACATGTCCTTCAGTTACTGGAAACTATGCTCGCAAGCCTCAGTCCACTGGAACTTAGCCCTTTTTTTAGTTAACTTCATTAATGGTGCTGAAAGTGAATAAAATCCCTCTAGAAACCTTTTGTACGTAGTACCCTGTTAATCCTAAGAAACTACGAACCTTAGTCGGAGTCATGGATCTGGGCCAAGTCTTTACAACCTCAATCTTTTGTGTGTCAACCATAATGCCGGAATTTGATATGATATGGCCTAGGAAAGCCACAGAGCTCAACCAGAACTCACACTTAGAGAACTTTGCGTAAAGTTCCTTCTCTCGAAGAACATGAAGGACTGCTCACAAGTGATTTGCATGCTCAGGTTTTGAATGCGAATAGACCAAAATATCATCAATAAATACAATCACAAACGTATCTAGATATGGATTGAATATGCTATTCATCAGGTCCATGAACATTACTGGGGCATTAGTTAATCCAAAATACATTACCAAGAACTCAAAGTGTCCATATCTGGTTCTAAAAGCTATCTTTGGAACTTCTTTCTCCCGAACTTGTATCTGGTGGTACCTTGATCTTAAATCAATCTTTGAGAAGTATCAACACTTTGTAACTAATCAAACAAGTCATCGAACCTTGGAAGGGGATACTTATTCTTTATAGTCTCCTTATTCAGCTATCGGTAATCGATACACATTCTTAGTAAGCCATTTTTCTTTCTCACGAATAACACTGGCGCACCCCATGGCAAAACACTAGGCCTGATAAATCCTTTATCCACCAAGTCTTTCAGCTGATCCTTCAACTCCTTTAGCTTAGCAAGAGCCATTTATAGAGGGATAGATATGGGTTTTGTACCTGGTAGCATATCGATAGTAAAATCAATTTCCCATTCTGGAGGGATACCAGGGAGCTCGTTTGGAAATATATCTAGAAACTCATCAACTACCGAAATAGACTGAAGAGTAAGTGGTTCTGCATCTATAACATGAACGCGAACAAGATGATAAATACAACCCTTAGTAATCATCCTCCTCGCCTTAAGATAGGAAATAAACCTACCTTTCGGTATTGTTGTATCGCCTTTCCATTCCTGAGCTGCTTCTCCTGGAAAATGGAATCTAACAATCTTTATCCGGCAGTCAACATTAGCATAACAAGACGCTAACCAGTTCATACCCATAATAACGTCAAAATCGACCATTTCTAACTCTACGAGGTCTACAGAGATCTGACGGTCGATAATTTCTACCATGCAACCGCGATAGACTCTCCTGGCAATAATAGACTCACCAACTAGTGTAGATACAACAAAGGGTCGATCTAATGACTCTGCTATACATAGCTTCAATACGATAAATGGAGTAACATAATACATAGTAGATCCAGGATCTATCAAAGCATAAAAACAATGGGAGCAAACAATCAATGTACTTGCCACAACATCTAGTTATGACTCTGAGTCTTTTCGGTCGGCTAGTGAATATATACGGTTCTGGACACTACCATAACTAGATGTTCCCTTTCTTCCTCCACCTCTACCTCTACCTGCAGGAGTCTGGGGTTCACGCCCTGTAGACTTTACTGATGAAGATGAACCTACTGACCTGATCAACTGACCTATACCACCCTGACCTATGGTTGGGCAATTTCTCCACCCATGCCCCTCCTGTCCACAAGAATTCAACCTGTGGAACCCTTCTTGCACCTCCCAAAATGTATCCTACCGCAAGTAGCACAACACGGTGGGACTATCCTAGCCTGGCCTGAACCCTTATGTTGTTGAGAGCCTGATGTTCGTGAACCCTCACCTAGGCATGACTGTCCCTGATGACCAAATCTACTACCCAAGAACTTCTGTAGTGGAGGTCTAGGTGGCCTAATAGAATATCGGGGTCTTGGACCAACCTGAAAATCTCCCTGTGACACAACGGGACTATCCCTCTTTTGTCTCTCTCTCAACGCTCTCACTCATATACTGCAGATGTCGGTGATCCTCTATTCCTTGTGCAAAGGCCTGAATTCGTGAGATATCCATATTATCATTTAGTGCAGCGATAGAACAAGTGTCGATATAGTCTGAGTCAAGCCCTCTCACAAATCTACGCACCTTGTCATGCATCGTTTTAACAAATACTAGTGCATATCTAGCCAATGAATCAAATCTCAGCCCATACTCTCGGACACTCATGTTGCCCTATCGGAGGTTCAAAAATTGGTCCTCCCGGCCATCCATAATATCTCGATCAAATAATGATCTATGAAATCTTTTGTAAAGCTATCCCAAGTGGGTTGAGTTATATCTTTTCCCTTAGATCTCTCCCAACTTTCGTACCACAATACTGCAACCTCACGCAATCGAAATGTTGCTAACTCAACTGACTCAGTCGTTGAGGCGTGCATGACTCTAAATATCCTATTAAGCTGATCAACAAAGTGCTTAGGGTCCTCTCTACGATCTGTACCTGTAAACTATGGAGGATTCAAGGCAAGAAATTCATGAACTCACAAGTATAACAAGGATAACAACCCAATTACATTGCTCCTAAGCTTTAAGGAAACATGTCGTACGTAGGGAATAACCTTAACATACCTTTTTCGTTGAATTCATGTGGCTAACGACTTTACTCACAACCCCCCTCGATACTACAACAAGGAAGGACCATAATCAACACAAAATAATAGAGGATACCACGATAATCCGAAAAAATATATGTATTTCCGTCGTAAATTGCTATTTGTGACTTATCAAAGCTAGAGTCGATGGAAGAAGGGTCTTACCTTGATTTTAAGTTCATAATACACCTCAAAACTTAAAAATATGCCCAAACCCCTGTTGTCCACACACCAAAGTACGATATGCTAGGAAATCGATAAAATAAATTATACCATGTTGACGAGCTCAACACGTAGAACAACTATTATCAAGGACTTAAGTCACTAAAATCTGTAACTTGGCTGATCCTAGAAGTGGGTTTTGTTGGTTTTGTGGTTATTCACTAAGAAAAAAGAAGAAAAGTCGAAGAAGATGATATATATAAAGTTCCACCGACCTAGGGGACCCACCTCACCTGCCTGCTTGCGCAATCCTGCGAAAACGCGAATATCTCTCCATTCTGAAGTTGTATGAACAAACGGGTTGATGTGATGGAAACTAGACTCGTAGACCTTCGATTTCATACGTCGTGGGCACCATAACTCTTTATAGATTGGGATAAAATATGCGAGACATTTGACCCAAATTTCAGACAAATCTTTTAAAAGGAATTTACGATAACTTTCGCCAACTTTTATTTTGCCACTTACCTAACTTCAAAACTTGAGATACAACCCTTGAACACTTAAAATATCACATAACACATCATTCTAAATTTATTACCCACCCTCCTGGTCTTTCCACGAAGATACGAGTCAGTTTAGATATTTCATAAAGTCGGGGTGTTTCAAACTTACCCCGCTCTGGCGCTGCCACCCTTGCAGCATCTGGCCCGCTGTAGCGGGACAAGGGCCCAGATTTTTCCCGAATCTTTGTTTCTCCTAAATAATGACTTTCGGGTCGTTACATCATATTTCCAAGACAAATTATATTATCATGTAAGACCCCATACTTCATCAAACTAAAGCTTTTGCATATCCATCTGTCTTTTCAAGTTAATTTGAAATGAGTAGTGATTTATCTTCTTTTAAATTCTCAATTTATCCAACATTATCGTAGTAGTTTAATTTATCCTGCTAAGTAAAGTTTATTAGAATATTATATTTAGATAAAATACGTAGTTAATCCTGCTAAGTGTTTCTATTTGGTATAAGATAAAATACGTAGTTAATCTTTAAAATTTATTAGAATATTATATTAAGATATTTCAACTGAGCCTTGTTTCAATTATTTCCATTTTGGGTGAAAGTTCCATTTCAGATTCTATTTTTGTATCGTACTACTTTTTCCAATTTTATGGGAAAAGGATGTCTTTGTCGTGCTTCTATGTAAAAAATAATAATTGGAAACTAATCGTAGGATCCCATTTTTGTGATGATTTTATTATAATTTAGATGGAAGTTCCAGATTCTATTTTGTCCTTCTGCCAATGTTACAAGAAAAGGAAATACTTCTATTTATGTGATACTTTTCAACTTATTTTAAATTTAATTGAAACTTTCATAACTTGACCAATTTATTTTGAAAATAAAAGAATCATTACTTAATTTCTTAAGTAAATTAAATAACCGTTTCTAAGGCAATTTAAAGAAACACCTTTTTTAAAAAAATAAAAAAATTCAAAGTCTAGAAAAGAGTTCATGTGATCTTTTAAAAAAAGGTATTTATAATCAATAAGGAAAGATAGCTACCTACCTACAACTTATATTCATCACTGAAGGAGTGAAGCTCTATCACCACCACCAAAACGTCCTCTGCCCCCCGCCACCAAAACGTATGGCACCAAAGAGGCCCTACCATCACTTGTACCACCAAATCCTCTAATTTCTGATCCATCAAGGTCCGGAGCTTTATATTTTCAAACTCGTGGAGTGTCTATTGCAATGTGGTTTAAGGTATGACTCTCAATTTTTTAATTTTTTTTAATCTTTGGGCTTATAACTGAGAGTCATAGCTGAGAAAACATTTTTAAGAACCCACAACTCTAGCGTGATTTTTTACACATACAACAAGGGTTACTTTTGATAAGGTGGAAGAGTACTTAACTAGCATGGTGGAGCTTCCTTTGTTAGGTCAAAAAGGAGATAAACATCAAAGTTAAAGAAACAATATGAAGGAATTATTGATCTCACATGATAAAAGGCCCAAGGCTAGGCATAAAATACAAAATACAGATTTGGCCCAAACGTAAGAATATATACTTTCTGATGCCACATAGAAAGGAATATTATTGTTAGAATAATACAGATTGTAACAATTGTGATCACCTACCCAAGGACTCTGAAAATAGCTGTGCCTCAAATTTTCTATCATATGAGTCAAGAATGTTGTTCATGTACAAGACCAGACCAAAAAGTGGCCTGGCCTAATAAATAAAATCAATAAATAGACACTAGCCTCGAAAGTGAATAGTATAAGCTTCTTCATTATCTTCCTCGACTCTCTTGCATGGTGCCTTGTTGATTTGTGTTGATGGTTGCACTACACCCTCCACCAGTAATGTCGGTTGCTAATAAATCGCTTCTACAGGTAAATTGTCTAAACTAATTCTACCATTTGAGTCCCCATATTATAGCAACAAGATTAATTAATGAAATAGTGGAATTTATAAATTACTAACATTTATCATCTTAAAAACGAGATATGTCAATAGGTAAGTGACTTGATTGTGTAAAAAATCTTACACTTATGATGCATGTAACTTAAACACTATATAATTATATATAATGACTACTTGTTAGCATCATTGCTGAAAGCTAGAACGATTTGTATAATTCATGTGAATATCACAAGTGTGATGCATGGCTGTCACCTACCCAAGGACTCTCAAAATAGTTAAGTTGTGCCTCAAACTTGCTATCATATGAGTCAAAAATGTTACTCATGAGATATCAAATCTCTCAAATGCCATGAAGCATGGTGAGGACAAAGAAAGGGAGTTGGTTTTTTATAGTAACATCATGTTTTGATTATGGGTGACAATTAAGCGGATTAGGTTAAGTTTGGATGGGTGAATCCAAATTTGTTTGAGTTAAAACGGGTCAAGTAACGAGTCATAATCTAGTTCGTTAATATTTACTAAATTTTAATGATTTTATTTGTTCTTTTAAAAAAAATTAGTACCTACAAAATTTATTATTTTTCTTTATAATGACTATGTATAACATCTCAAA